CTCTTGCAATCATGGTTTTCAATATTTGATTTTTCACCATTATGTTTTCAATCTTTTCCATGTGCTCTTGTATCAATTATGCTCAAATCAAACCAAATCTTTCCCTATTGACTTATGCACGAAATATTGAAGGCAAAATATGCATGAAAAGATTTATTAGGTCAAGTTAGATATTTTTCATATATTTAAGTGATTTAAATGAACTAATATGAATAAAAATTCAAATAAATAAATAAAAAATGAGAAAATACTTCCCTTTGGGCCAAGTAGTCGTGCACATGCTTAGAATGATGAATCATGGAAGAAAAATGGGCCCATTAGCATTTTTAGGTCATTTGAATCAATGTTGACTTTTCAAAATATCCAAAAATTTTCCAACTTCTACAAGGCATAACTTGCTTAATTTTTAATCCTTTCTCATGTTCTTGGACATTTTGGAAAGGTCTTTGAGTCCTCTAACCAATGCCTTTGGTCCCATGTCATTTTGATTTACCAATCGCAAGTTATGGCCTTTGACTTAAAGTCCCTTTTTGTTGACTTTTGAAAATGACCTATAATGTTGAAATTGATAACTTTTTGTGAGAGCTTTTCTTGGACTTGAAGTATGAAGATGAGTTGTAGGAAATGTCTTTCTCTTCAAAATGAGCTTTGGATGGAATTTTTCTGATAATCCATGTGGAAGTTATGCCCTGGTCAATTTCAGTTGACTTTTTCAACTGTCCAAATATAGTAACTTTTGCATCTTGATGATTTTCTGAGCCAAATTTTGAGAATCATGATCAAGCATTGATCAAATGATGTTTGTGGCTTCAAAATGATATGTTGACCAAAAATTTGAACTTTTGACTGCCAAATGACCATTTTGCCCCTACAGTTGACTGTAGTGCAATTTAGGGTTTTGACTGTGCAATTTTGAACTGAATGCCTTGAAACTTGATATGAGGATATTTGACCATATCTGTGAGCATGTGATACCTGATTGGGCCTTTGAAAACTTCATTTTCTTGATCAGAACACAAACCCTAGTTTTGACTGTATAGGAGACCTTTGCACTGTGCAACCCTTGGGGAATTTTGAATCTTGGCTTGGCAATTTCTTGAAGAATTATGGGAGGGCAAATTTTGGGGTACAACACCCTCCTGTCTAAAGATCCAAGTTGCCTCGAAACGGTTGCCTCAGATAAAAAAAGAATCTAGGACATTAGGGTTACCGCTAAGACGTCCTACTATTGCTTTGATGACCACATGTCCCTATAATCAAATTGACCCGAATAACTCCAACGACAGTGCTACCTACTTCTCAATAGTGGGATAGTACTGTATAAAGGACATTTACACAGCTTAATTTCCTTTGAGTAGGTAGAGGTTCTAAGGTACTTGCTCTTTCAAAACAAAAACAACTTTTCGCACTTACACTTTTCTGACAAAAAATTTCAAACAAACACTTCATACACTCTTGAGGACAGATACAAGAGTCAAAATGAAGTTTTCAAACAAACTTTTTCAAAACCCACAAACACAAGAAAAGCAAAACATTTTTGAAAACATAGTGAGCAAGTACCTAAGAGCCCGTGGATAACCACAGATAGAAAGGGTGCTAACACCTTCCCTTTCTATAATCTACCTCCCGAACCGAGAAACATCTCGAAAAGGAATTTTGCTGTGCTTTTTTCCTTTCCTTGTTGGAGAAAATAAAAGACAGTGGCGACTCTTGCTTACCGCGACATTTCGCGAACCAGCATTCCAAAACAGTCAGTTCTATTTCCACCGATCACAGCGCCCTATACACTTTATCTAGGAAAATAAAAATAAGATGAAAATAAAAAAGAAAATGTTTTTGTGATTTTTTTATGAAAAATGATTTATGATAATTAATCAAATAAACCTAAAAATATAATTAATTTTAGTATTAAAAAGTTTAATTAAAATAAAAATTAATTGTTATAAAAAACTTTAAACCTAATTTAATTAGTGTTAGAAAAATATTAGGTTAAAAAAATAATTAGGGTTAGCTAAGAGAATTAGAAAATAATTAAAAAAACAAGAAAATAAGGTTTAGTGAAAAATTTCCAAGAGTGGATGTTGAGCCCATGCTCATTGCCCTTTCAACAACATGGCTTGCCAATGTGCCAGGCGCACGCTGGTGTTAGGAAGATCTGCATAACGCAAAATATATTGAACCTGCAAAAATTGAGAAAATATGAGAAAAAAATGTTAAAAGGCAAGGATCGAACCCACACCCTCTTATACCAATGCCTTATCACGCGCGCTCTTGCCACTGGGCTACGTTATTCATCTGGTACATCAATGGAAACAATTAAATAAGTACTAAACCAAATCACTGGGCCGGAGAAGCGCCACAGTCCTAGATCTGGTCGTCTTCTTCGGCGACCACGTTTTTCAACCTGCAAAAACCAGAAGTGTTAGAGATCCAAAGGGACCCTACCCCCTAAATCAACCCTTCTGAATCCAATGGTGGCATTGTTTTGGCTAATTTCCCCTGTATAAAGAGATACGAAACAAATAACTAAAATAGTTCAAGCATGGCAATACATGATTCAGTCATTATGGGGGTCATGCGATGGTTCAATCCTGTACATTGACATCACATAAGCATATTAGTAAGGTTAATTTCAATCAAAGCACAAAGAAAACAAAAGTATGAATTTCACGCAATAATGGAAAACGATGATGCATGACTGTACGTTTCAAGCCCTTTGGATCATCAAGACTGATCCATTCTTACCCTACACTACTTATGGAATTGATTGGGAGGGTTGGCTTGCTTTGAAAGAGGCTGAAAGTAGGGTTTGTAATTTTCCCTAGTTTTGATAATTTTTGAATTTTTTAGAATAGTGATCTCTTTCCAAGCTTTTTGTGTCCTTTACCTTGTCTAAATTAAGAGTATATATAGGTTGTGAATTAGGTCAAACAAGTGGGCTTGGACCTTTGTAAGAGAGCCTTGATTTTGTTTAATTCATTTTGAGTTTAAATAAATAAAATAAAAACTAAATGGAATAAAAATCAAAGGAGTGTATAAATAGGTTCTGAGGTTCACTATGAGTTATAAAACATTCTTGGACCTTGAAACATAATCCCAATAGCCCAAAAATTCAAGTTTGATCAATTTAAGTTTCATACATTTTCTCAAAATTGCCCAACTTGCACCAATCACAACTCTCTCAATTTTTATCATATGAATATGATCATTGACTTTTTGGAAAGCTCAAGATATCCTCTACAATCTCCATGTTGGTAATTTTTTCATTTGAAGACTTTACTTTGATGTAAGTTGCCTTGACAAAAAGTGTCTTTTTATTGACTTTTGAAATGACCTATAATATTTTGGCCCATATCTCTCAAATGAAGCATTTTTTGGACTTGAGCTTAGAGAGATAAAGTTGTATAGAATTGAATTTCCTTTAAAATGAGCTTTGGTTGAGAAAAATCTAATGAGGCATGTGAAAGTTATGCTTGGTCAAAGTTCAGTTGACTTCTCCTAAAGAAACCCCTAATTTAGTAACTTTTGACTTTTGATGAATCTTGAGTTTTCTTGATGAATCATGATCAACCCTTGATTCAATGATGTATGTGACTTCAAAATCTTGATGTTGACCAAAAATATTGAAGTTTGACTGTATGTTGACCATAATTAATTTTTTATCCAATACAATTAATTTTCAGTCATCTGAGCAATTGACTGAGCAAACTTGTGATGCAAGGCTTGAAATTTGGAATGAGCATTCCTTGAGACATACGAGGAATCCTGAAATCTACTTGAGGCATTATAAGCTCAAATTTCTTTGAGAAAACTAAAACCCTAATTGTAGGCCACTTCGTAGGAGGAGAATTTGTCTGATCAAACTTTGAGTAGCCTTGAGCAATTGAAAACCCTAGAAAATGAGGATATATCTTGAAAAAAACGGGGAGAACAAATTTTGAGGTACAACACCCTCTAACTTTTTCCATATTCTCTCAGATATACCCATTTACTCTGTCTGTTTTCACTTCATTAGCCCATATGTGTGATTGGTATATAAACACTACTGAATTGAAATTAGAATGGCAATAGTGTTTATATACCAATCAAACACTACTGTCATCGATTGAATTTATAATGCCAGTAGTATTTATATACCAACCAAACATATGGGCTAATGAATTGATAACATACTGAATAAATGGGTTGCTCTTGAAAAAACATAGACTTAGACCCAAATGTAATATTTTGATAATTTAAAATAATAATTCATAAAAATATTAATAAAAATTAAAATAATAATTCTTAATAAATATTAAAGGTAAGAAAATATGATATATAATTTAAAACGTAAAAAAGAAGATTAAAAATACTTTTTGAATTTATTTTTTTATTTAAATATTATGTGAAAAACATTTTTATTGAATTAGCTAGTCATAAAAGGGTAATTAAGAAGATTCACTTACAAAGTAGCGTAATAGTAACAATATGATCTTTGGTGATAGATTTTATAAGAGGATCATAAAAGAAAAATTTATAAGAAAACAAATGAAAACTTATTCAAGAGATAACATATATTTAACTCTAATTTTTTTTTATAATGTTTAAAACATTGTAAGAGGAAAGTGAAATTATACATCATACATTAAAAAAGAAAAAGAAACATAAAACTTGAAAAGGGAGGATCATTTTATTAAAACTGGAGTATTACAAAGTTGAGCTTAATACTTATATATAGGCCCAAATAAAAGAGTTTGTTAGAGTAAATATCTCTAACAAAAACTACCAAATAACAAACCAAAAAAACCTAATTAATTAAATACAAGTTAAACATTCAAACTGTAACACTTACCCGATTAAAGGTATGATCATTTTGCTACTAGAATTTTTAAATAATAGTGGTAACCGAAACTAAAATCATAGTACTCACTCAACCCTTGTGGAAATTATTTTCTTATCACCATTATTACTTGCATAACTTTGATACACGCGCGCAAAAAAAAAGTAGGATGTAGTAAATGCTAATGAGTAATTAGACATGAGTGTGTAATGGGAAGTGGTGGATCTGAAAAGGAACCATTGAGTATTCGATTGGCAATCCATTTATTTGCTGCCTCAGTGTAGTGCACACCATCCCAGCTTATATACTTTGAAGGATCTTTACAAGATTTAGTTACTATTTCTTTACCATTAATCGTTGCTTTATTCCCACAATATACATGGTTACCATCTTCATGATATCCACAACATATTCCAGAAGGTTCAAAGAATCCTGCAATTTATAATGCAGAATGTTAAAATTAATTTTTTTAGTTTATAAAAAATGAATTGAAAAATATTTTAATAATTTAAAAAGGTTTTTATTAGAATCATTTTTAAAAATATAAAAATAATCTTTTTTTATGCTAAAACAAATCGGTCGATAATAAATTAATAAAGACAATTATAGTAGATGACAACAATCATTATTATTATTTGAGATAGCGCTCTCAACCCGGCTCTAAATAAGACATTTTTCTATTATTTGTTACTAAAAAAATTAATTTTTTTTTAATATTTATTATAAATATTATAAATTAAAATATATTATTTAAAATGTTACATATTTAAAAAATACTATAACATAATTTTAATGTATAATATTTAATATAAAAATATTAATTATAATATAAGAGATAATATTTATGAGATAAAACAACTCAATATATTATTTTTGAGTGAAACAATAAAAAAATTAATATTTTAAGAATTATTAACTATGCATGCCAAACGGGCCATTCACATGCCATATGAGTTAGCCATAATTGATAGTGAGATTTTTATGGTCAGACTAAAAAACTTGAACGCTCGAATTATGTGTTTTGTTAAGTCAGACAAGTCGATTTATATGAATTAATTTATTTTGACGACATAAAATTTATATTTGAAATTGTTAACTCTTGTTGTAAACGTTTATTTGATTCAGGATTGTTTGCAATACAGTTTTAAAGATTTTGACGCTATAAGTTATCCACCACAATAGAAAAAAAACACGTAATTTTGTTGAATTTTTAGGATAAAATCGAATTAAATTAAATCAAATCAAATTAATATAATTTAAGTTGGTTCGATTGTTTAATTGTTTTTAAAAATTTTATTGAGACAAATATACATATATGTAAGACAATATAATTTTGTGCTCAAATATTTATATGTTATCATAAAATAAATTTATTGTTCAAATCAATTTATAGTTTAGTATATAAATATAAATTATATTTTATCATTTTATCTTATGTCTAAAAAATAATATATAAAAAATTAAATTTTTAAATAAATTTAAAATATTATTATATTTTATAAATAGAATGATGCAAAAATAATGTATATTAAATCTTTTATTTAATCTTATCAGTATCAATGTTAACCAATTAAAAATGAAACCAAAAATAAATATAAAGTAATTATATTTTAAATAAAATTAATAGTATTTATAAAGAAATATTATTTTTATTGATATGTAAGTTAAAATAAATATCATATAAAAATATGATTATATATATATATATATATATATATATATATATATATATATATATATATATATATATATATATATATATATATATATATATATATATATATATATATATATATATATATATATATATATAATATTTATTGATTTTTCTAAAGAATTATATATATATATACATGGTTTTAGTTTATATGCACCGACAGTATAAAATTAATAATTTTACACTGTCATCTAATAAAAAGTTAATAATCTGCCTTGTAATTAAAAGAGTTCTAAAATAATGTGATTTATTCTAATACAAGGTTGTAATTGATTGATAGTGTAAAATAAATTTACAGTGTCAATGCATCTCTACTCTCTCTTTCTCTCAAATCAAACCAAATCATACCATATGATTTTGTTAGAAAATGACTCGAATACGTTCGAACCAAATATAATTTTTGTAGTTTTCGATTTGTTTTGATTCGGTTAGCAATTCTTTATTGGATCGATTCGGTTTTTAACACTTCTAGTATGATTCAATGTTGGAGAGAAGAAGGATTTTAATAGAAGAAAGGAAAAATGAGAAAGTAATAAAAATATATTTTAATTAAATATGTGTTTGGTTCAAAATAGAGAACATAAGAAGAGTAATTTTAATTAGGTATTTTGGTCTCGTAATTATACTCTTGAGTTTATATTGATCCCATAATTTTTTTATTACACCTTAATTCTTTAACTTTCAAAACGTTCTATTTGTTATTGCACAAGATGATGAAGACAGAAAGAATGAGAATATATTTATGAGAACAAAAAAGAATGACAACGGTAAAGCTGTAAGAAGGAATTGTTAATTATTATTAAAAATGACAGCTACCATTAGTCTATTTATACACAAAATAAATTGCCACGTAGACCCTAACAAAAGATAAACTTAATAATTAAGCAAACTAAACTTAATAGCTAAGTAAACAAAATAACTAGAACCCCAAAAGCTAAACATACTTCTGGACCTAACCCCAAAAGCTTTTGCTTCTAACTAACAATCTCAGAAGCTCTACACTTCTGACTAACAACATCAGAAGCTTCTGATTCTAACAGTAGATTTTGAATATGAATTACTTCCAACACCATCCCTTAACTCATTCAACTAACCAAAATCTACAACACTAATTTCATTCCTCAAACGAATAAAGTGTTCTGTCTTAACAGCTTCACAGGTTGACAACGCAACCAACAATTACTTCTTGAAACGCCAAGAAATGGGACTTCCCAAATACTTGAAAACATATTTAGAAGTACTTCTTTTATCAACCAAATTTAAAATCTGGATCAGAATTAAATTCACCAACTGACTCATCTTCAGAGTCTCCTGAAGATTCTTCATCTTCTGACTTTGACTCACCTTCAGAACTTTCAAGTTCTGACTCATCTTCAAAACCTTCAGGTTCTGATTCATCTTTAGAAGCATAATCTCCTTCAGATTTAGACTCATCTTCTTATTCTCCTTCAGACTCAGAATCACCTCCGGATTCTGAATTATCTTCAACTTCGGAGTCATCTTATAACTCTGACTCATGTTCAGAAACTTTAGATTCTGACTCATCTTTAGAATCTTCAAATTCATCTTCTGATTCTGATTCATATTCAAACACTCTAAAGTAAGAATATTCAGAGTCATCTTCTTCCCCTTCAGAATCAGAAAATGACAATCTCGCAGGTTCCTCATCAGATTCATAAGCCATCAATAACATAGGTTCATCATCAGAATTTCCTCTGGCTATATTTGCTTCTTCTGATTTGCTTCCCTTGTTTAACCAACAATCTTTAGCAAAATGGTCAAACTGCTTACAACAGTAACATTGAGCCTTCTTCTTGTCAAACGTCTCCCTTCCTTTTTTATTTTTCTTTTCATCAGAATAGAAGACTTCTGACTTCTGAGACCTACCATGTTTTTTCTACTTCTGGTCCTTCTTGACAAAAGAATATTTCAGAGCCTGCTCAACTTCTCTTTTAGAAGTTCTCTCAGTCAGACGCAACTCTTGCGCCTCTAGACTGCTTTGCAGCTCTTCTATTCTCATGGTGTCCAAATCTTTAGAATGTTCAATTGCTACAACAATGTAATCAAATTGAGGGGTAAGAGACCTCAATATCTTCTAATTGATTACTTATTCATAAATGGTTTCTCCACAAACTTTCATCTCATTAGTGATCAGAACCACTCTGAAGATGTACTCAGATACATTCTCGTTGTCTTTCATGTTGAGATTCTCATACTGCTTTCATAGGGACTGAAACTTCACCTTCTTCACTGATGTGCCATCACCGTAACACCTAACCAATGTGTCCCACGCAATCTTCGCCGTTGTCGAATCAGCGATTTTCTCAAATACGTTCACATCCACACACTGGTGAATGTAGAACAACGCCTTCTGATCTTTCTTCCTTTTATCTCTCTGCGCGATTCTCTGTTCTTCCGTAGCATCTGCTACATCTGAAACGTAACCTTCGGTAACAAGCTCAAGAGCATCTTGAACACCGAATAATACGCACATATGAATCATCCATCTATTACAGTTCTTGATATCAAAAACTGGAAGTTTGATGCTCTAATTACCGTTTCCGTTCATCTTCAACCTTGCACAAAACTCTCATATTTCACTAAACACAGTGTTTCCCAATCCCGCAGAATTAGAAAATGTGATCCTGTTCTGATTTTGTTCAAGATTCAAACACGAATTCAAGAACTAAAATCAATCACATAACGGCTCACTGTTTCACTCGTGTTTCCTCGTGGACTCGAACCGGAGCTCTAGATACCAATTGTTAGTGCACAAGATGATGAAGACAAAAAGAATGAAAATATATTTATAAGAACAAAAAGGACTGACGGCTATAAACTGTAAGATGAAATTATTAATTATTATTACAAATGACAACTATCCCTAATATATTTATACACTAAGTAAATTGTCTCATAGGCTCTGACAAAAGATAAACTTAATAACTAAGTAAACTAAACTTAATAGTTAAGTAAACAAAATAACTAAAACCCCATAAACTAAACATATTTCTGAACGTAACCTTAGAAGCTTATGTTTCTGACTAACAAATACAGAAGCTCTATTACTTCTGAATAACAATATTAGAAATTTTTAGTTCTAATAGTAACTTATGAATATGAAGTACTTTCAACACCATTTTAATTTTTTTTAATTAACGACAGATTTTACAATTATATATAAAATTATACATAACTTAAACATAACTTAGTGAGAAAGAGGATCATGTTCATACCTGATTTTTTAGCATTACTGATTAGCTCATATTTTGCAGAGTACATGTCGACATATGTTAAAGAAGCATTAGGGAAGAGTGTCCTTAATTCCACAACTTTATCTTTAAGCTTTTTATTGAAGTCTTTGGCCAAGTCGTTTTGGTAGTTGACGCAGCCGTTTTGATCAAGATAACCAGGAAGTAGAGAAATGTTGTAGTAGGCATTGTGAATTGGCATGGAAACTGGTAGGCAACCAATGGGGCCTGTGTTGTGTATCCAAAATGTTCTTGCTCCATAACCATATACATTCTGTGCCAATATATATACTTGTTAGAAAAAATATAAGTAAAATGGACGTTTTCATAATTGGACAGGTAATTAAACCAATAAAGAGATTGAGTCACTCATTAACTGGTCAAATTAATGGATGATTGATCGAAATGATAATTAAATTTAATTAAATCAGATAATTCAATTGATTAAACATAATCATGTATAAAATACAAGTTTAAATAAATTTTAAAAAAAGTATAATTACGATTTAAATTGAATAACAAAATAAATGTATTATCTAATAAATTTAATTTTATAAGGAAATTTTTTTTAAATAAGTTTGACAGAAAGTAAATTTATATTTTAATTTTTTTAATAGAGTATAATTCTTTAAGTGTCATATTTACTATTTTCTAATAAAAAGATGACAAGTGTATAATTTTCTTTTACACATATGTAAATTGTTCTTATTTTTACTTCTTAAATTATATTTAAATATAATTGTTATATTTTTTATTGGAATATAGTAAGAATCATATCAAAAGAATTGTATATAAGTTTTATCATTTTTTTAATTATTCGAATAATATTGTTTTATTTAAGAAAAAAACACAAGCATTTAATCCTCGACTTTTTAAATTGTCGATTCATTTATTTTTATCACTTTTAAATGACTCTAACCTATTCACATTAGTTCAATAACTTATTCAATTCAACAATTAAATTAGAATAATAATTCCTCTAATCCTGATTTGACCGGTTTGATCGCCCCGGTCAATCTTGTTTTTAACACAAAGAAAAATAATTATTAATTTTACTATTAATAATTTTTATAAAATTTTAATAAAAATTACAGAAAATTGACTACTACTAGTATGAATGTATTTTTAGATCTATAACAGTATAGCTGACTCCTTTTGTCAATAAATTTATTAAAAGTTTGTGTTTTTAGATCTGTAACAGTAAAGTTGACTTCTATGGTCAACTAATCTATTAAAAGTTAAGTGTCAGAAATCTGCAATCAATCATCCGAGTACTTTCATGATTTAGTATAGGATTAAATTAATAGTAATCTTATCCCTGTAATCACGGCGAATTATATTTTTTTTGTCTGTAATTTGTTTTTTCTTTTGCAATTTCTGTAATATAATTTTAATTTTGACTAATAAAAAAAACATAACTCGCGTGAAACAATATTAGGCTCACATGAAAACTAAAAAGTAATGTAATATAAGATTAGGAATTGCAAAATAAAATAAAATTACAACAGTAAAATAAAACTCACCACAATAATAAAGAGAGAACAATTTTAACCTTTCAATTTACATTTAAATTTGGATTAAAAAGTAACATATTAATATTATAAAATTTATCATTCAATAAAAATTTATTATTTAACTATATCATATAATTTATTTAAAAATAACAGTATAATTTATTATTTAACATAGCTATACTATTGGTAGATATCCTTTTTCATCTCCAGATTTTTGATAATGTAAATAAATTAGTTTATAACTACACGTGTTATCAATTATCATTACTCATTTATATATATTCCACTATTCCACCCATTCATAACTATAAACATTTATGTATATATATTTTGTTTTTATTAAGAATACCTGCGAGCATTACTATATTTAACACATTTATTAGGAATATGAACTAAATTTTAGTATAATATCATTAGTAATTATTATGAATGATTGATGATTGTTGTAATTTAGATTATTTTATTTGATGCGGAGTATCATAAAATGGGAATTGCATAAGTGATGAATGATTTTTAGTTACATATATGGAGAAAAAGAATATACATTTATGCACCATAATATACAAACAACGTGTGACTTACTTGAAGTTGTTTTGAAAAATATTCCACAATGTTAGAGATCAATTCTTGGGAATCTTCCTTTCCATACTTACTAAGAACATAAGCAATATCATTTTGACCAATATCAAAAGTGTAAACAGCCTTGGCAAATTCCTCTGGCTTTGGATAGTGTGTTGCGTAAGAATTTTTATTTGCTGCAATTCAAAATCATACATTAAACATCAAGCTTTAAAATATGTGATCTGCAATTCTCATGAGTATTCACTAACCTTGTGTGAAGAACTTGGCGGTGCGTGTTTTGAAATTGTTAAATTGCTCTATTTGGATTTCAAGCACGAAAGGAGTTCCACCATCGAAGTAGGTCCTGTTTTGTCGCATGATTGTCGATGATCCTGCTGCAAAGTTTGCACCATGTCTATAGCTTGTTCCAATTGAGTTTATATAAGCACTCAACAATGGCATTCCAAGATGCTTTGCTACATACATATATAGAGAAATTATTCACAAAATATATATATATATATAATAAGTGTAAGAATGTTGAAAGGGTAGAATTATATTATACCAATGAAATCTATGATAAGACGGCCATCAGAAGCTCTGCCAACAGCCTCATGGAAAAATGTTTGACCATAAGGTAAAATAGCAGGGAAAAATGCTGCTGACATGGAACCAGTATCTGAATTTGAGTCACCAAAATTGAAGATGGCTTCAAAATCACATGGTTTTTGTGAGGTTTTCAGTTCCTCTGCTTGGATACTCACTAACCAAGAGAGTAAAAAAACAATACTAGCAAAATATCTGAGGGACCCCACCATTATTGTCACGGCACAACAAAACAATACGGCATGAGGGTTCTCTTAATGTGTGTGTATATATATATAGTTGTGATTTTGGAGCTTAGTGTATAAGATTAAATAGTAATAATGTGTCGATATTTGGGTATCACGTGTGTTGCAAGCTATAAATATATAAAAAGGAAAATTGAAGATAGTGAAATCCCACTATATATTATGAGTGTAATGGACTCAAGGCCCATTACATAATGTTTTAATCTGAGGTCACATGTGATACTCACGGTTGTCTTTTCTCAATAAATTTAATTATTAGGGAATGAGTTTCCAATGTGATGTTATTAGTTGGAAAATTTTATTTCTTCTATTTTAAAAGTAATATTATTAGAGACATTTAAATTGTTTGTTATTAGCTTGTTATACTGTTATTAATTTATTAGAGTTTATCCTATTTTTAAGGTTGATTATTAATTTGTTAGGGTTTTTATCTTATTTTCAAACATCTCAAATTATAAACTATTGGTTTATATATAAAAGCACATCATGTATCATTCTTTATTGTTGATCAACACAAAATACAAAGTACTTTCAAGTTAATTTTCTAATATGACATTCGAGCACATTCCGATTCAGAAGAGATATTGGGGAGTAAAAATACCTCTAAATTTGAAACGAAGAGCACAACAAAGAATACACAAGTTTATTATCATCTAAACAACTCTGATAATCCTGGAACTCCACTCGTAACAACACTAATGGAGAGATTTACCGCACATGGTCAAGATTAATCAAGACGACTTTGCGTGCAAAGACGAAACTGGGTTTCATTGATGGAAGCATCAAGAAACCATCAATTCAATCTGAAGTATACCATGACTGAGAAAAAGAGGATTCAATGGTGATGACTTGGTTGATCAATGCGACATAACCAAATCTACACAGCAGCATCTCACATGCTTCAACGACTCGAGATGTATGGGTGGATCTTGAAGAGTGTTTTGCTCAGACCAATGCACCACGAATCCATCAGCTATGAAGAAACTTGTGTTTAATTCAAAAACAAGTGTAACAAATTACTACACTTAATTCAAAAGTCTTGTTGATGAATTGAGGGAATTCCAAACCCTACCTGAATGCAGTTGTGAAGTTTCTAAAGTGTTGACACAAAGGGAGGAAAAAAAGCGAGTCCATCTCTTTCTTAGAGGCTTTGGTAATTAACAATACTCATGTGTCAAGGCAACCATCCTCAATGTTGATCCATTACCCTCTCTTAGGCGTGTCTTTAATCAAATTTAAGCAATATCTTAGCCAGTGGTTCCACATAAAGGATCTTGGTTCACTTAAATACTTCATAGGCCTAGAACTAGCACAAGGGTCATAAGGGATATATTTCTTTGTCAAAGAAAATACACCTTAGACAATCTACAAGAATGTGGAATTCTTGGTTGTAAGCCTTCTTTGTTTTCCATGGAACAAAATCACAAACTTGCTTTGGCCAGGGGACCTCCACTTCTAGAACCGTCAAGGTATATGAGATTAGTTGGTCACCTGATTTACTTAAATATCACTAGGCCTTAATTAACATACTCAGTTCACATTCTATGTCAATTCATGTAAACACCACTCCTAGACCATTGGGATGCTGCTATGCAAGTCTTACGATATCTAAAATCTTCTCCTGACCAAGGTATCATTATTCCATAACATAATGATCTACAATTAGTTGGCTATTGTGACTCAGATTGGGCATCATGTCCCATCACCAAAAATCCCATTTAAGGTTATCTAATGAAACTTGGAAATGCTCAAATATTATGGAAAAGAAATAAATAAGTCACAACTTCTCGATCCTCAAGTGAGGTTGAATATAATGCAATGGCATATGCCACAAGTGAAATACTATGGCTATGTAATCTATTAGAGACTCTACAAGTTCCATGCTTCAAACCAATGCTTCACCATTGTGACAATCAAGAAGCTCTTCATTTAGCTGCAAATCTGGTCTTCCATGAAAGAACAAAGCACATTGAAATTGACTGTCATTTTACCAGGGAACACATACAACCAGGTTCCATAAGCATGACTTACCTACGCACTAAACAACAAAATGATGACATTTTTACTAAGTCCTTAAGCGTGAAAGCTTTTCAAGATCTCATGTTCAAGTTGGGTGTTGATAATCCTCACCCTCCAACTTGAGGGGGAGTATATTTAAGTTTTATGTTATTAGTTTGTTAGTCTGTTATTATTTTGTTAGGGTTTATCTTATTTTCAAGATTTGTTATTAGTTTGTTAGAGTTTATCCTATTTTCAAAGTTTGTAGTTTGTTAGGCTTTATCCTATTTTTAAGCATCTCAAGTTACAAACCATCAACCTATATATAAAGGAACATCATGTATCATTCTTTATCATTGATCAACATAAAATATAAAGTACTTTCAAGTTAACTTTCTATTAAATATTTTTGGTTTCATTTTTTTGTTACATATTTATTTTTGTACTAGTGTTATTTATTAATTCATTATCTGGTTTTATCATCTTAATTCAAATTATTATTTCACTTGATTCAAATGATAAGTATAGGATATAACTCAAATCAAATTGACTGTTTTCACCTATTTTGTGTCTTATCCGTAGCACATCCATAAATCATTTTTCTTTATCTCTCAATAGTGAATAATTCACACTTTTTATAATCCTTGAAAAATCAAGAGTGTTCATTCATTCACAAACACATTCTATCTTAATTTAGACTTAAAGAAACATTTCCATAAGTTTTGATTTCATGATTTATGATTAATTGTTGTATGAGATTCTTCTTAAAACCAATCATCTTCAACCTTTATAAAAAAAACCAATTGTTATGGTTGTGCAACTCTAAGATTGAGTGTGTGTGGTTATTGAAAGGTACATTATGGATTCTAAAATTTTTATTGTGAAGCTTATCATGGATTCTAAAATTAGAATCGAATTGTGAATATGAATCCTGGAGACTCACTTCTTGCCAAAAAAGATTAATTTCTTCTCCAAAGGAAAATTTTGGTAAGGTCAAACGAATATCGTTGCAGGAATGATTTTGGAGTTTCTAACTCCTTCAGCAGTTGAAATAGACTAACAAGGGAATTTTTAGGGTCAATTAAATATTGCTACAAACAAAATCTTAGAATGCTTTGATTTTGGGAAGGTGATAGGCTCAAGATCGAGTGAAAATCTTGAAGAATAGGAAGTTTTTTGGGTAGCATTCAACAAAAGAAAAATCACAATTCATATATGTTGCTTAAACCTTTGGTGTTAAGTTTTTAGTATTTTTTGTGATCGTCTATTGTACAAAACTAATTTGTAATAATTTGTCTAGAATTGTATGTTGTTAGGTTTATCGTTCATAGAGTTTTAATGTTTAAGCATAAGTATGTGTTAGATCTTGTCTGCTAAACATTCTCTTTGTTGATTATATCTATATAAACCTATAATATTATATTCTCCTTTGATCAATAAAATTACATTCAAAACATCTCGTGGTGAATTGAATTCAATTAATTGACACAATTGTGTGTTAGTAAACTTACCAGTCCACTTTTCATTATATTTTCTATTCATTAAGAAAAATGTGAAATCAGTCTATAAGGCATATTTTCTAAGAACCTCCTCTTCCGCACATTTTGAAAATTTTGATTTAGAAAACCTTATTTAAAATTGTTTTATTAGGGGAAGATTTATTCAAACCCCCTTCTATACCATTCTGCTCTTGTATCAACCCAAAAATTGCTATAAGAGATGATCTTTTTTGATCAAGTTTTGTGACTTTAAAAGTTGTGAATATAGGAAAGAGAGATATGAAAAGGGCGTATAATAAAGCACCTATATTCAAAAATGCATGTTTCCTCATTCAAAAGTATATTCGATAGCATTGAAATTAATAATCACCCCAAAGACTAGAATTATGAAGTGACTAAACAAGAATCATACAATTTAAATGTTAGAAACATACTAATTTCCACCTTGAACGTTAATGTGTATTTTTGGATTTTGCGTTGTAAGACGTTTAAGACATTGTTTGACGCTCTTCAAGTTCTTAATGAAGGAACTAATGACATAATGAAATCTAAGATTACCAAGTTGAAATAATAATATGAGCTATTCTAGATAGAACCCGGTGAAACCATGTTGTCCATGCAGATGAGATTTGTTCACATAATCAACATGTTAGAATATTTAGAAAAGACTTTATATAACCAAAATTGTCTTAACAAAGTGTTAAGATCTATGTGTATGTAATGGCATCTAATAGTGGAATCCATAAAAGATTCAAATGATCTTAAAATTGTTGACATGTCTACTCTTTTTGGAAAGCTTAGCAAACATGAACACGAGTTGAAAAGGCTCGAAGCTAGCGAAGAAAAATTGAAAAAGAAGGAAAAAGTTAATGAAGATAAGATAAACATATCCTTAAAGGCCTTATCTTCCAATGTCATGGTAAAGGATGATGAAGATAGTTTCAATGAAGACTCTTAAAAAGACGAAGAGATGGGTTTCTTTGTTAAATGGTAGAACAATTATATGACAATAAATAGTATCAAGCATAAGGATAAATAAAAAATTGGTGAAGTTTAGAAGATCTACTCCTATAAGAAAATAGACTGTAAACAAAAAGGAAGAAAAGTAATCAACATGCTTTGAATTTGGTAAACTCGATCACTACAAAAGCGGTTGTCCAAGCTTTTTGAAGCATAAAAGTAAGCAAGAATTCTATAATTCCAAAAGCAAAGGAAAAAGGACACAAGGTATACATTGCTTGGGAATAAGATGAAGACTAGTCATCTCACAACACTAGTTCAAGTGACGAAATAACTAATATTTGTTTGATGGAATGACTCAAGTAAAAAGACAGAAAAAGTAAGTGATTTTGATACCTATTACTTACCTTTGTATAATGCGTTGTCTGGGGATTTTCATGAAATTAATGATGATGCTGTAAAATCTTTTAAGAAAAATTTCTCTCAAAAGAAAAAGATTTCAAAACATGA